TGCACCACGTGGAGGTAGGTCTATCGCACACCCCATATTTGATATTGTTAGCAACGTGTTTATATATTTAATAAGCGATTGACGATCACTACTATATCAATTCATCTATTGACTGGCTAGCGGTCTGCCAAAATCTTTACTTCGATTTATTTAACTTGGATTCCTTCCGAGCTAAAAGGGAAAAAATATCCCCTCCCTGGCAAATATTTCAAATGGATTTTTTAAATTTCCTGATTATCTTTCTATTTAATAAACTAATAATATCGAGATTGCCCAGTTAATGAATAATTACTGCTGAGTGGTTGAAAGGATTGGCATAGGGCCATTTACAGGGGTAATAAATAGGAAATAAATGGCATTCATTTAGCACGAGATGTATTATCAATGAAAATTATCGCTTGAAGGAGTTAATATTACTAAATGATGACAAAGCGACTGCTGGGGCTATAAGACACCGTACCAAACATTTTATTGTAGCCAATTAGAGTGTAAATACAGGCTAAAATGCCAAAAAACACAAGTATTTCAGATGTATTCAATTGGCTGCACATTTGTTTTGGGACCCTGAGGATGCCCAAGTTTGGTTTTGCGTATTGATGTAAAAGGGCACAGCTTACAAGATCCAAGGGCCACAAACTTAATTAACAAAAGCCACCAAATGCTTGCTATCAACGTCTGATAAGCAGAACGATAGTTTTGAAATAAGACTTTCCTCATACCAAAGCTAGACACTGAACTTCAAGCATTTGGGAGAAAAATTGGCACTCTATTCCCTTCTCTCCTTCTGTTTCTCGAACATCTTTTCAGCACGACTGATCATTCACATTGCCAGAAGAGCACTGATAGGCACCGGTTTTATGATCCACGTTGATCTCTGAGTCAACTCATTCCTTTTTAGAGAGTACCCTAAGTAGGAAAAAATAAATTGTCATTCACATTGAAGTAAAACCAGGTCAGGTATTCATTTTGACCACAAATATTGAATTCACTCGTCATAAAACAGGAATTCGTTTTTTACTATCGCAAAGAACTTTGTATCTGATACGATTCATGAATCTTATTTATAAAATGTAGGCTACAAGTAACGTGGTCTTATTACCTAGAAAGTGATGCTTTCACTTTAAAGTAGGAGTAAATGGATGAAGTGAAATACTTGCTACAGGTTCATGTCTCAATTTTACTGACAACTTGAGCCTTTTGGGGGGTAAATAAATCTTCTAAGGCTGACTAACGAAACTTTGAAATCTACGGTTGCAAAGAGCGCAAGCATGCGAGAAGTCCAATCAGAGATCAAAACTTGTGCTGCGTAGCGTTAATTGCATTTAATTGCTAGACTTTTGAACTGAACCCTCTCTCAGGTGATAACATTTTTAGCAAATTTGAACTTAGCCTAGATGCTTTTAGGAGCAATTTATCCTAGGAGAATGATAGGGGCTGCATATACTTTGACGTCAAGGGGGGGAGTATTAAGGTTTATCTAGACGCCTATTTATGTGGTATCTGATCTAACGATTAACACAAAGTTGTCCAATGTCAGGCTGCAAAGTAAACATAAAAATAATTGAATGGTATTGATTTTGCTATCTTACTTTTAAGTGAAACTTTCCAATTCTTAACTCTAAATTCTGATAAATAATATAATGTGATGCTTTCTGCATAGTCAGCTCAAATAAAGAATTAAATCTTTGCGAGAAATCATACAATACGTTCGAAAAGGCAACATTATGTTTGTCCAATTACAGATATGACCAACAAGTAAGTATATTGGCCCACAGGGATTGTTAATAACCAATCTCTGAAATCGAAGGCTAAACCATCTAAATATGCAATGACTTTTTATCAGAAAGGAGAGCTCTGTGGATGTGCATATTCATTTTCAATGAAATTAGAGTTTAGACAAAATGGCTAAAAAGCAAGAATGTCAACATGCGTTTCTCAATATGAATTAAGAGGTGAATAGTTGGCCAATCTTAAATGTATATTTATTTATTTCAAATGGCAGGCTTTATGATATTTATCATTAGCCCATAAACTTTGACTTCAACTTCCACAAAGGTTGGGGTTAATTGATAGAAATTCATTAGCTGTCTTCTTGCTTCCCAGTATCTCCGTTCATGAAGGGGGGTACATTTATAGCAGTTAATTAATAGCAGTTCATTTAGCTGTCTTCTTGCTTCCCAGTATCTCTGGCTTAATTACATTTATAGCAGTTCATTAATAGCAATTCATTAGCTGTCTTCTTGCTTCTTACATTTATAGCGGTTAATTAATAGCAGTTCATTAGCAGTCTTCTTGCTTCCCCGTACTCTGCTTTCAGCTCATTAGCTGTCTTCTTGCTTCCCAGTATCTCTGGCTTTCTTGCTTGTCTTTAGAGCTGGACACCGAATCAGGTGGGTCTTACTTGTCTTTAGGGCTGGACACCGAATCAGTGCGTCTTCTCCATTTCCTCCTGCAGGTTACATAGGGGGCATGATACCATTTCCTCCTGTAGGTTACATAGAGGGCATGTGGGTTTCCTTGTCTTTAGGGCTGGACACCGAATCAGGTGGGTCTTCCTGTCTTTAGGGCTGGACACCGAATCAGGTGGGTCTTCTGTGTCTTTAGGGCTGGACACCGAATCAGGTGGGTCTTCTCAAATGTAGGTTACATAGAGGGCATGTGGGTTGAGTGTATACCTACGTTACATAGAGGGCATGTGGGTTGAGTGTATACTCCCAGGTTACCGAGTAAGGTGCGTCTTCTCCATTTCCTCCTGTAGGTTACATAGAGGGCATGAGGCTCCTGTAGGTTACATAGAGGGTATGTGGGTTGAGTGTATAACCATTTCCTCCTGTAGGTTACATAGGGGCATGTGGGTTGAGTGTATACTCTCGATCTGTGAAGGTGTCTCGCTAAGCAATCGTGTCCGGTACGTAGTCTAAACTCAGCAA